GGGGGGGGGGGGGGGGGCAAATGATCTCTTCTATACAACTAAGATGCTTGAAATTACCTAGGAATATCAGGATCAGAGAAACTATGGTATCTGTCCTCAAAAATCTGTAAGAGAAAGCAATGTAGTCAGCCAACACCCATCAGAGATCCGACAGATTCGGGATATCTGCAGGACTAAGTACATGGCATCTCTTTTAACTAACCTCAAACCGTTTTAAATCCAGAGCTCCGACAGGTTTGGAAAGATCACGGAATGTTGACGCTTTGTTAAAATCAAGCGACTCAGATGAGTAGTCAGCCAACACCCAAGGGAAAACAGGATACTGAGTCAAATCATTATACGATCTGCCTGCCAGGGTGTTGAGAATCATCAAGTATTCAAAGTTAGTAATCTCTCTCCTTCTCCAACTATCTCTGGCAGTTTCCGCCATCTCCAAAGCTACACGTCTATCGACAAATGAAATCATCCCAGCCTTGTCCCTACTAGTTCCCTTCGGAAACAATAATTCATTCCTGGTAGCAACTATTAAAGTCCCAAAATCTTTTGCACTCTTGTGGGATGCAAAATTTAGAAAGATTGGGGGCATGGAATCATGGAAATGAATCTCTATAGACGTGAATTGAAGCAAATATCGTGTCCAATGAACTGCTTTCACCTATAAGCACACAATCATGGAACAGAATCAAAACCCTGTTAAATAATGCACAAAAGATCAAATAATTTTTTTACTGCACTACCTTTCCTATTTCCCATCTTCTATGGCGCTTAACCTTCATTAATGTTTTCTGATGGTTGCTTTCTGATTCCATGTTGTCCCCAAGTGTCCTATTCTCAGTATCATAGTTTGAAGACCATTTAACAAAGTTCTGTTTACTGTCAGGCTTTGTTGGATCACAGTCCTTTGAAGTACTAAATTTCTTGAATACGGCCGATCCACCAGTCCCTTCCACCAAAAACTCCCCAGAGAAATGCAAGACATTCTTCATAACTGCCAAGCGACCAGCTAGTTTCCGCTTAGGAGTTATAAGGACACAAGGAACTGATACTAAAACCTGAGAAAACAAACAGACAACGTGTTATGTCTAACTCTAAGGACTATAATTTCTGTGAACAGATCCAATAAATTCTACCTCACTGGGTTCCATTTCTACAGATGAAGAGTCTGATTTTTCTTGGATGACATCCTTGAGGCCACTTCCGCTTCTCATGACCTCAGAGATCGGGATATCCGCAGGACTGTCTGAGAAACTTGGCTCACTTTGATTGCTATCATTCTCACAGGATTCTGAACCACCCTCATCCATTATTCTGTGGATGCCTTTCAGCAAAAATCTCTTCATTTGTTCAGGTAATTGTATCACACTTGACCTATCATTTACAATGCTCGAATTCTCATTCTCAGTTGCAGTGCCAGCAGAAGGTGGATAACACAGCTTTTCATCAAAATGATAATTGCGTCTCAACTTTGGTCTACGTCTCCAAGAATCTTCCGTCCTATCAAGTTTCCAGTGCCTTAGAATGTTATTTGGAAAAGGAGTTGCAGACCAAGGACCTCTCTCATCCATCAGAGATCGCAACATGTGAATCCATTTCCCCTGTAATATTCATGTAAATGCTTAATCATTATCAGAGGACAAAACAAGCAACCGAAGAAGAGAAAATGGAACTTACAGCAACATTTTGCTGTTGCTCTTCATGGCTCAGTTGCAATGCAACTTTTCTATTTTCATCCCATGCAAGAACAGAAGTTAGGACGCTTTGTAAGTCATCATCGAAAGCTTTTTTGTTGCAGGATTCTAAAGACAATGTTTCATTTATCCTGTCACCAAGACCTTCAACTTGCCTAGTACGATCAGAAAGCACTGTCTTCATGTGCATTGTTTCATCAGAGACCTATCAATTAAACTCAACAAATCAAACAGCATAAAAGCGAGAAGTACTGCGAGAGGTAACTGATTGGCTAAGCACAACTGCAAATGCCGAAATATGGACAATGACCCGGGCCAAGAACTCAGAAACGAATTCGCAGCCCACTAATCCAAACTATTTAACAAATATTTAAGCATTATCCTTATAATGATTTTAAGCGTTTCATTCAATAATCTAACCCAAACAATGAAGTAAATCAGTGTAAATGCCAAAAGAGAGATCAGCTCTTTGAAACCAGAATCACAACGATACATCTGAAGTCCACTATCCATATCAAACAAATAAGAAACTTTACGTGAAAACTGAATGAAACATGGCATCTCATTTTTGAAAGTTTGCCTGAACGTAGAATTGGCATGGTTTGATGCAAGGCAAGATAGGATTAATGAGATTAATGAACTATGGTTTCATTCCCCCAGCTGGAGATGAAGAGCTGAAAACTTACAAACCTAGCAAGACAGGAAGGCAAGAAAATACACCATAATATAAAACTATACCAATTGGAAATACTAACACGTAAAAGTTGTCTTACATAACTCTCAATGCCCAAAAAATAAACTCAGCGTTCAATGCTTATTATTTCATATAAAGTTCTTAAGGTGAGTGTCAGATTCTGCTACGCCACTTATTACACGAGCCATGGAATTAATTGTATGTATGCTAGTCAACTTCCCAATAGCATAGACTTAGGCAAGGAAAGTAGAGAAAAGATAAGTGGACCAACCGCAGCAAGTACTCGGTCTTTCTGGATGAGATTATGGATAGAGCCCGTTTCTCTAAAGATGCCACCAGATTCAGAGTGGTCATCCCTGCCAACACCACTTGTCACCAGGATGGACTTTCCAAGACTGACAGTTTCACGTATCAGTTGTGATATGACATGAAAACGTGCACCATCATCTAACATTCCATACCGGGATCTCATGTAAAGTAAACACCTGGGTAGGAAGAAAATTTTCAACGAAATACTTCAAAAAGAGAGATTTTCCTAGTAGCCAATCTAAACATGAAAAACTTCAAGGTGAGGGAAAGGAAAGTTATAGTTGTCTGATATCCCTGTTAACAGATTAATATATATAATTGAAGAGCGTAGTACCCGATAAAGAGATGCAATTTACTCTTGGTTTGCTCATCATCAGCAGCTAGAAAGGAAGGCAAGAGTGAGATGACCTGCTGGACGCATCTAGAAGCTTTTTCCAGGGAAGACAAGCACAGGTAAAGAATTACTAGCCTAAATACAATACGTGTGCACTTTTCTCCCCTTAGAAGCATAGCTTTGTCAACGCTTTTGTTAACTTTTCCAGTCAGTGCACTGCCAATTCCTCCAGACACAACAACTGCAGCCATTTCAGCAGCAGGACCATTAAGGGATTCTACTAATCCTCTTGCTCTCTGACCAATAGAGGGAGAAGACGCTGAAGATTTGGGTGTGATCTTTCCTGGACCCTTTCCATTCAGGTCACAAATTACTCTCCACAAATTGTCATACAAATTCCACCAGCTTTCATTGTTGATGTGTTCATCATTTCTTGGGGTACAAGACTGCAGATTTTCTGTGTTTCTGTGAACAAATATGAGAACGACAGCATCACCAGACCTAGAAGGCAGGGAACAAAAACAGCAAATTCTGGACTGTTCTTTAACAAGTAATTTCCAAATACTGTGAAGGCTTTGCTCTTGAGCAGTATTTGAACACATAACATAATACCTTTTAAGCTCACAAGAGACCAACTGATAAAACCTAGGAAAAATAGACAGAGGAAAATGGAAGGGAAAATATCGCCAAGATTCCTATAATTAAACAAGAGCGTTATTTAATCACCACATCTGAGAACAGAATTTTTCAATTATGATAAGCTAATAAAGGCTAACCTTGGAGGAAAGAAAAATTGTGTGCTTTATGGTTTTTCTGATTGCAAGTATTCAGACCTAGAAGGCATCTGAGTACAGAATTTCTCAATTATGATAAGCCAATAAAGGCTAACCTTGGAGGAAAGAAAAATTATGTGCTTCATGGTTATTCCAATTGCACGTATTCAGGCCCGACGTGTGGGTTGGTGTCACTATAAGTTTGCCACATATGGTGCGTACATCTATTTTAACTATTTGAATGAACTGCAAACCACACTGGACTAAGGATGCTGATGAGGAGAAAATAAAAGTCCAAAAAAGTCATACCTAGAGGTTTCTTCTGTCAGTAATTGTTGGGAACCTTTATCCAAAGCTGAACTGGGGACCTCACGGCTTTCTGACTCTAACAGATCACCAGGAAATTCACTTGCTGTAAACTGCAAGAAATGTATTTCAAATTAACAATATCACCATAGTAATGAACAAATACTTTCATCAGCAGTGTGAAAATGAATCAAGCCTCTAGTTAGCTTTTCATTATATTGAGGAAACCATTAGACGATTCATGACATCTTCAACTGAATCAAGCCTCTAGTAAGCTTTTTTTTATATTGATGAAATATGTGACGATCCATGACATCTCAACTACCAGAAACACACTAAATCAATAGAAAATACATCTAAAAAGGAAAAAATCCAAATAAAAGAAAAGGAAGAGGAATTTCAAATGAAAATGAAGAAATTATGTACTAAAACTCCAAAAATTAGACGATCCATGGCTGTGGCATACGGAATTCCCTTTATGGAAGACTAGACCATCACCATTTCAGTAGCAAAGCATTTAAAACCATATTTAGTTTGGATACATAACATTATGCTCTGCATTTAAAGACTTAAGCATGCTAAAGTTATCAACTTGATTGATAGGTGATTCACAGGCTCAAGACCACAAAAGCTCTCACCATCCTTACAGCATCATCATTAGGAGAAAGTAGAGATAAGACTTAAGCATGCTAAAGTTATCAACATGATTGATAGGTGATTCACAGGCTCAAGACCACAAAAGCTCTCACCATCCTTACAGCATCATCATTAGGAGAAAGTAGAGATAAGAAAATGAGGGAAAGAACAGTTAATAGAGCTTACAACTCATGGAAAAATCTTATTGTTATCCTGGGTCAACACTGCTGGCGAACATGGAAAAATATCACTCACAAAACAACAATATGGACTTCACAAATCTGATGAGACGAGTAAGATGCTAGTAGGCATTTACTAGATTTTGCGGACGTTGTCAACTCAGAGTTACATTAATTAGATTTGAAAAACAAGAAAAGAAAGACATTACATGATAACATACAACCAGAAAAGACATTAGACATACCGGGAGCTTATTGCCAATTTCACTGACAAGCATCTCATCGACCAGCCGCAGGAAATACAGCACATTGTCCCGGCAAGGTTGTGAAATCAAAATACTATCTTCAGATGATAATTCTACCAAACGTTGAATCAAGTCCTCATAGATATCACGAAGAAAAGACCGGTACGAGGCACCATTCTGCAATGAAAGAGAATCAGGGGAGAATAACAAATGAAATGCTTGCTGAGGGAACATAAACAGTAGGATTTTTAATTACTTGCTCACTCTGCAAAAGTATAAAATTCACAGTTTCCTCCAACTGCTGCCACCCTCCCTTCACCGATAAAATATAGTGACATAGAACAACACAGAAAAGACTCCTGACAAAATGTTGTTCATTTATTGCCATGTCATCATGATTTTGTGACTCGGATTTATAGTCTTTAATCACATCAAGTTCCACTGAAGCTGATAACCATGCATTCCAGCCATATTCCTGTGCAGAATTTCAGTAAAATTAGATGGTTCTTTTGACAATGACATAATTGAAACTTTCAATCTAAGGCGCTCATACCATTAAAGCTTCAATATTCATTGGGTGAGAATCAAGAAGATCAAGTATGTCACTGATTATTTTCATTCTTGCTGACCCATCCTTGCAGCCAGACAAGAATTTGAAAATAAGAATCAAAATTTGTGGAAGAAAAAAGTGTGAGTTGCTTCCTTTGCTTTTCTGCTTCTCGATCTGGTTATTTTTCTGCAAAACCTAAAAGAAAACCAATTCAAACAATTTCCTGTCAAGCACTTCTGGAACATGATCCAGATTAAAACAAATGAAATAAGTTAGAGAGAATTAGAACCCTTGAGCTTATACCTGTTTCGGGCTAGCACCACCAAGAAGAACGTCAAACAAGGTTGCACGCAAATTATCTGTCTGAGCAAATTGAAACAATCTATCAGACATGGCGAAGAAAATTGGCTGTGTTCTAGCCACAAATTTCTTTTGGCTCTCTGACAAAGATTTGGACCGCCCCACAGCTAGACCAAAAAACCTAGGACCTTTCTTCTCTGAATGTACACCATAAAGAAGTTTTCCAAGGAACTGCAACCCAAGCAATCTGACAGGCTCATAATCCCTGCAGAGGCCCAAAATATGTAGTTGAGTGAAACTAGTTCTGTCGGCCTAGTGAAGTAGATTAAAAAACCATGCAAAATCTCGTGTGATACCTAGAAACAATATAACAGGTACACCACCACACCGATTATGCACAAACAGAATTTTCTTGAGCTAGGATAGTCCACTATTTTCTTGTGCAACTATCAACTGAACAGAACATCTCTTTTCCAAAACAAACTTTAATTCATGATAAACAGATACACAAAAATTGTCTTGTCATCCAAGAGCCCAACAGGAAAACAACATTTTAATAAGATATAAGCAGCATATACAATACAGACGAATTATGAAAGTTTAGAGAGAGAGAGAGATTCAGTAATGTGTCCATCACGAAGGAAAGAGT